AACGAGATTTATGTAAAAGAAAAATGAGATATTTATAGGGAGGACCGGAGTTCGATGTTTAATTGAAAATTGGTGCATTTTTTTTTTTTTTTTTTTTTTGGACTTTTTGAGACAGGGTCTCCTATAGCCCCAGCTGTCCTGGAACTCACTATATAGACCAGGCTGGCCTTAAACTTACAGAGATCCACCTGCCTCTGCCTCCCAAGCACTGGGACTAAAGGCGTGTGCCACCACACCCAGTTCAATTTCTTCTTTTCTTAGTTAAAAAAATTTGTCATAACCTTTTTTCTTTTAACATGGATCCTTTTAAATTCTTATTTCTTGGTAGTGGTTGCTATATATCTATAATACCAACATTTTCCTGTATTTTTGTTTCTTAAACCTGCAAAGACAAAACTGTAATAATAATAATGAAAACAAAAAAAGGAATACTTTCTTTTTCTTTTTTGCTCACAGTCCTGAGGATTAAAGCTCAGATCTTAGTTTCTTGAGACAGAGTATTGGTATGTAGCTCAGCTTGGCCTTGAACTGGAACATTCCAGAAAAACAATGTTGGTAGGTGGAAAGCAGCAGATGAGGGCAAGCCCATTTTTTTCTGAGTCAGCTTATAAGTACAAGTCTGACCATAGTGATACCAGGTCTACAAGCTTCTTGCTTCCCTATCTTTCTCTTTCTTGCTTCCTTGGTGACTTTTGTCCTCATGACTACTCTTTTCCTCTTCTCCCTCAACAGGGACCACCAGTAGAAAAATATTTAGTATTCAGTTAGCCATTCAACAGATGCAGATAAAGACAGAGACAGAGTCCTCTTTGCCTAAAGCTTACAGTCTAGTGGGGAATAACAAATACTATAGACATCCAGAGTAGGAGCAGTTTACATGGCCTGGGAGAGTTTTACAAATAACTATATTTTGTGTGGCTGCTCCTAAGTGTTTACAGGAGAGAAAAGACTCCTTTTGTATCTCTGCACTCCACTTGCTGGTAAGTGATAGCTACCCAGGTTAGGGGCACTGTAGTTACCTTTGTTATTTCTCAAAAGCATAATTAGATTGGCAAGAATGTGGATAAGTTAGAATCCTTACATATTGCCAGTAGGAATGTAAAATACAACTTATGTGGAAAACAGTATAGCAGCCAGGTATGGTGGCATCTGTAATCCATCCATTACATCTATAATCCTAACATTCAGATGGCTGAGGCAAAAGGATTGCCACAAGTTTGAGACCAGCCGAGGCTACATAATCAGTTCCAGGCCAATCAGGGATACACAGAAACCTTGTTTTAAATATATATTTACATTTTTTAAAAAAATATATAAATATTTATATTATATATAAAGAGTCTAGAAGTCTTCAAATAATTAACCAGAATTATTTTGCGACCCAGTGATTCTGTACCTATACATACACTCCAAAAGGATTGCACATACAAAAATCTGTACAAAGTCTGTGAGATGGCTCAGTGGGTAAAGGTACTTCCCAAGCCTGACAACCTGAGTTTGATCCTCAGGAACTACATGGTGGAAAGAAAGAATCCTCTCCTGTGGGTTGTCTTTTGACCTACATATGTGTGCACACAAATAAATAAATAAATAAATTTAAAAAGTTAAAAAAAAATCCAGGCATGGTGGCACATGCCTTTAACCCTCACACTTGGAAGGCAGAGGCAGGCGGATCATTGTGAGTTCAAGGCCAGCCTGGTTTACATAGTGAGTTCAGGTCAGCTGGGACTATAGGGAGACTCTGTCTCAAAAAGACACACACAAAAAAAATCCATACAAAAATATTCATATCATCATTATTTGTAATGGCCCAAAGCTCCAAAAAATGCAAATGTATACTTACTAAAGAGTGGATAAATCTATATGATGAAATATTATTCAGCCATAAAAGGAATGAAGTAGGGGCTGGAAAGAGGGCTCAGTGGTTAAGAGCATTGGCTACTTTTGCAGAAGACCCAGGTTTGATTCCTCAGCTATCAGTAACTCCAGTTCCAGGGGATTTGACATCCTCTTCTGGCCTTCATGGGCATTGCATGCACATGGTGCACTTACATACATGCAGGCAAAACACTGACACACATGAAACAAAAATAAATTTTAGAAAAAGGATGAAATACTTATTTGTGCTATAACATGGATGAAGAAAACATATTAGACCAAGTATGGCAGTACATGCCTGTAATTTCAGCACTTGAGAGACTGAGGCAATAGAACTGCTATGGATTTGAGGTCAGCTTTGGCTATATAGCAAGGCCTTGTCCCAAAACAACAACGATGGGGGGGGGTGCTAAAAATAGATCATGCGCTGTTTGATTCCATTCAAACGTGCTACAGCTTGGATGTGGATGTGGTTTTATGGTTTATCCCCCATAGGTTCATGTAGTAGAGACTTGGCCCACAATGTGGCAGTGTAGGGGTGGTATAATCTTTAGGAAGAGAAGCCTAGTGGAAGATGGTTAGATTATTGAGGGCATTGCCCTCAGAAGGAATTAATATAGTTCTGTGTAACTTCCTTTAGTTCCTGTAAGACTGAATTGTGATTAAAAGTTCTCTCCTTCCACCATATGGGTCCCAGGGATCAAATGAGGTCAGCAGGCTTGTTTACTTGCCATTATCTGCTGAGCTATCTCATCAGTCCTCTTTTTCTTTTTCCTTTCTGATTGATTTTCATTTATTTTTATTTTATTTTTTTAATTTTTGCTTTTTTAAGGCAGGGTCTCACTGTGTGACTCTGGCTAGCCTGGAACTTCTTATGTAGACCAGGCTGGCCTGAAATTCACAGATTTTCCTGCCTCTGCCTCCAAGTGCTGGGATTAAAGGGGTACACCACCATGTCTGGTCTGATTTATTTATTTTATGTATATGAATGTTTTGCCTGCATGTATGTATGTGTACCATATGCATGCCTAGTGCCCATGGAAGCCAGAAGAGGGCATCATATCCTCTGGAACTGGAGTTACAGGTGGCTGTGGGCCACAATGTGGGTGCTGGGAACCAAACTTAGGTCTTCTACAAGAACAGCAAGTACTCTTAACCATTGCTATCTTTTCAGGCTCCCTACTCTTTTCTTTATAAACTAGAATATAAAATATATAAATACCCAGCCTTGAACATTTTGTTGTAACAACAGAAAATGGAC